AAAAGAGAGAGGGGGGGGGGCTTTCTCTTCATGATTAGTGATCGCAAGAGAGCTGATCAGTGAGCTGATCACTTCCTCTGAGGGGCCGCGGCGTCCCGCCCGCTAAGGGGCTCCTCTGCACCACAATCACCACACGGTACAGTACGTCATGGTCGTTATGCGCCGTGCTCCAGAACGCCCCGCGTGCGCACCGGACCCAGCGACCCACCCACACACACTCACATAACGATAAACTATTTGTACACTTGTACACACGCCCTTTCGCCGCACGCCCGTCCCTCGTGCAGCTGGACTAGAGAGAGGGGGGGGGGGTTGAGGAGAGGGCGCGCTGGGGGGTAGGCCTGCACGATATCCAGGTTTAGATATCGCGATACGATATTGGCTCCATATCGTGTTTTAGACGATACGATATATCGTCGATATATCGTACAAATATCGTCCCATATCGTGGTATCGTGATATCGTCCCATATCGTGATATCGTCCCATATCGTGGTATCGTGATATCGTCCCATATCGTGGTATCGTGATATCGTCCCATATCGTGGTATCGTGATATCGTTCCATATCGTGGTATCGCCCTGTATCGCGATATCGTCTAATATCGTGTATCGTGATATCGTCTCATATCGTGTATCGTGGTATCGTACCGTTTGAGGAAATCGTCTACACTGTAAGAAAAGCCTTAATACTACTTCTTTAAAAAATCCCTGGTCATGGACAGAAATATTGGCTGGTTGATGTGAGTACCCGTCAAGCAGTGCCGAAAATCGGTCACCACTCGACCACCCACACTGAATACCCGTACGGTACCGTGGTGCCCTGTATGCACAGGCATTCCGCGCTAGTTTCGACAGGTATGGGAGCCTAGACTCATGAAATTTCCACCAATCGATTGGACACTTGTCAATTTCGAGTGGTGGGATTCTTTCTTTAATGCGCTTACTCAGTATCGTGGTATCGTCCAATATCGTGGTATCGTGGTATCGTCCAATATCGTGGTATCGTGATATCGTTCAATGTCGTGGTATCATGATATCGTTCCAATATCGTGGTATCGTGATATCGTTCAATATCGTGGTATCGTCCAGTATCGTTTTATCGTACGATATCGTGGTATCGCCATTATCGTGTATCGTCTCATATCGTATCGTCTAACAGATCAATACGATATCGTCCCCCACGATATCGACCCAATATCGTATCGTCGACGATATATCGTGATATCGTGCAAGCCTACTGGGGGGGAGACTTGCGTGGCATTTACAAACAAGCGCTCATTCTTTATGTGTCTGCCGTGTGTGGCACGGAAATAGGAAGAGGGAGGGTGATTTTTGTACGTGTGGCATGGAAGGGGGGTATGGGAGTGAGGGGGGG